TGCAGTTTTATTAAATTTTATTCTTACACCTCCATATTTGCAAGAGTCAAAGTCGCATTAATTGCAGTCTGTCTCTTCACTCTCCATACCATGTGTTGAAAATGCCACCCTCTACTTTTGGGCATGGGGTGTAATTTCTCACTGGTTGTCATAGTGCTTCCTTTGCCTGGTAACTTCAGTCCGCTTATCACTTTTCCATGAAGTGGAAGTGGAGTTCCTGTCTCTGGGTGCCTGTCCTACTTTCCTTGTGTGACAACTTAACATGCCTCACACTATTCAAAGTTGGTTTGAAAGCCTGCATTGACCACTAGCTTATGAATTCCTGATGGACAAAAATGATGCCTTCTTCACCTCTCCTTCACCCCAGTCCTTCAGAGAATACTAGGGGCATAATAGGTTTTCACAATTGTTAAAACGCTGAAAGACCATGAGAAAATGTTAATCAAATCAAGTAGTGCAGAGGCATAAACTAATGTATTATTCCCAAAGAAAGCCAGGACTGCTCTTTTCTGCATGGCATTTGAAAATTTAAAAGAAGAGATGTGTAATCAGAAACAAAACACAGACTAATTCAAGCACACTCCCATTTCCATGACCATTCTTTATATTTAAGCAGATTAATTTCAGTGAAAGCCACCCAGTGGCTCTTGCACAAGGACAACAAATAGGGGAATGGGAGGAGAGATCAAAGGTCATCTGTCAGTGCCCAGAATTAATCAGAAAGGACATCCGTATTTCAAATTCCTTCCAGTTCTGACTCATTGGTAGTGGCTGCCTAAAGACTGTGTTGGTAAGGATTTTAAGACCACACCTGGGTTCAGGGGAAGCTCACTGTAATTGATTACCAAGATCTGCCTAGGGCATGGATTAGGAAATGTTTACCCACCTGCCAAATATTTCTGATCCCTAATATCAGGCCTAGATTGGTTTGCTTTGTGTTCAGATATTGGAGAGCTATCTGCTACATGTGGAAGATCAAAATGTTGACTTTTAGTCCAAACCCTTCTAGAAATACTCCCGGGAAACCTTCCTTTCTGTCTGTCCTCTTGTTACCTCTGGCTGCAGGGTCAATGCTTTGGTCCTGCCATGAGGTCTCTGTTCATAACTTTGGAGTTGAAACTTCATTCAGACCTTCTGGATCTAGACTTCGTCCTTGATTGTGAATAATGTCTTTCTGATTGCCTGGTTTCTCAATCTGTGGAACTCCTATTTGCTTGAGATGAGAATTATTTTACTCCTAAAGGCTCTAAAATTATAGATCAGGAAATATTTGTACAACATGTTCTGTGGATTAGGAAAAAAAAATGCTCAGGTAGTTTTAAGAAGTATGCTTGGTTTGCACCGACATACTTCCAGCATGTTCATTACAATGTCTAAAGTTCTATGCCCATTCTAGTGTCCTATTGAACCAGCTGGGAGGGACAGATATGCAATATTTTAAAAAACAAGTTCCAATTGGGATTATCATGTACATAGTTTTGAGAAGAGTTAAGGACCATGGTTCAGAGATTGCTAGTAGTAGCTCTACTTCTGTCATATAGTGGAGTAATTCTTCAATGAAAACCAAAGAATCCTATTATTTAAGTATTGTAATTCATGCTGTTCTATTTGTATATGTGCAGAGGAATGGCCTATGGGTAGCATTATAGAAGACATACGCCTTTTTCCAGCATTTTTTCCAAAGAAAATGCTTCAATTCTTTTCTTTCTCTTCTTCTCACCAACCTCCTACCAAAAATACACACATATACACAGAGAGGAAGACCTATGAGACCCTCTGACCCTACTTTTTATATCAAAGTCTACTTTGCCTTTGCAGAGAGCCAAGTGGTGTAATGCTTGTCTCCTCATCAATGCATAAAAACAACAACAACAAAATTATATACTGGCTTACCTAGAAAGTTCTCCTGACAACAACTGGCTAAAAAGATCTGGATAAGCAAAGGATCTACAGCGTTTCTCAGATTTTGGCAGGGTAGATTATAACCTCCCTACCTGATGCATGCTCTTTTCCTGGTTGCATGCAAAAAAGATAGATAAGCCACAGGCCAAGCCTTTGTTTTTGTGGAAAACAATCTAGTCCTCTAATAGCTATTGCCAGTATATAGCAATGAGACATTAACACACTTCACTAGACAAGCTAACTCCTACTGTGATACTACTCTACTATTTGCAGTGTTTCCTTGAATCATTTCAGCCATCTAAATAGAATTCCTAAAACCAGGGATTGTTCTCTTACAGCTCAAGTTTACTTCTTCCATCCTTGACCATGGTGCATGATTCTCATTCCAATAATCACAGGATTAGCAACGATAAAACAAGATAACCATAATTTCCTGCATCCTTCTTCACAAAAGCAAAAATATATGAGGGCTGATGTTTCACAAGAAAATAAACATTTCTCACCCTTTATTCTGTGCTAACGAACTCAAGTGATAAGAAATTTCACAAAGATATCCCTAGCATAATCAGAATGAATTCAATTTCCTAAGACAGTAAATAGTTATTACTGAACTCACTGCCAGATCTTTTTTTTTTTTCCTGTTACAATGGAATTCTTCCACTTAAAATACTTAAATTGTTTGATCTAAACAAAAGTGGAAGGCTGTGATTCTGAATATTGCTAGCTTGGCAGTGATGCCTTTTTCCGTGATTTCTGTTGCATTTGGCAATCTGCCTCCTTCCACAATTTAAATTCCATGGCTTCATGTACAAAAGCTATTTTTAATTTATCACTCATGCTTCTCTAACCATATGCCTATCTTTAAGGTATGTGAATTTCCATATAAAATTCACTATTCCCGTTTGGCAATCTAGTACCTTTAATTGTGCCAATCAAGCATGTAAAACATCACAACTCATTGAGAGTATACAAAGAAAAAACACATGTCTTCTAAACTCTAGGATACAAACCACACTGCTTGAAAACAGCTTAATTTTTCCTGTAGTTCAGTTCTATCAGCTCAAAGTCTTCTAGAACAACTGGAATCAGTGAATTCAATTCTTGAAACACTGCACCATTTTCAGGTTTTTTTTTTTTAAGATTTTATTTATTCATGATAGACATGCAGAGAGAGGCAGAGACATAGACAGAGTAGTATGATAGGCAGAGGGAGAAGCAGGCTCCCTGACAGTGAGCCCGATGCAGGACTCAATCCTGGGATCACAACCTGAATCAAAGGCAGGTGCTCAACCACTAAGCTATCCAGGTGCCCCTCATTTTCAGGTTTTTCAGTGAATCAATTATACTATTGACCTTACTGAAAAGATTCATAATCATGACTAGAAATGGCTGGAAATGACAAATGAAATGGAAGACACTTATATTATCAAACACCATTACAACAAGGCCCATCTATAAAACAATTGCAGGCTGTTCTATAATACTACATTCCCCAAGAATAAATTTACAAGAAAAGGATTTAATGTTTTTAACCTGTTACAAAGGGAATTGTGTTTTAATAAAAAAAATAATTATCTTCATAGGCTTTGATGATACACATCATTTCCCATAAAAAGTTCAATGGTTATCAACTTACCAGCATACATTTGGGAAATTCTTTTTCTTTTTCTCTCTATTGCATTTCACTACCCTAACTCATATTTTACTATTCCCCTGGCCCAGGGATAGATAGAAGCAATAAAATGCAATTCAAGTTGGTTTCACAGACAGTAAACATGCATTATGAATTTGAAACATACTGTTGGAAACATACTATGCTTGTTGAGCATGTATTTTAGAACTTCCTCTAAGACATTTTATTACTAAAACCATATCTGGAACCACTAACTGTCCTTGGTTTCAGAATTCTCCATGGTCTTATGAGATACTCATTTAAGAAAAGAAAAAAGAAACAAACAAAAAAGCCCCAAACCCACACAGTCTAAACTAATAGCTTCTGAATAAAACAATTTAGGTGAAAGGCATCTTCTCAAAACACCAGTCAAATGTCATTAATTATTTATATGATTATATGAGAATAAAAGTAACAATGAAAAATTCAGATTTGACTAATTCTTAGAGACACAGACTTATGAATTTGTAGAGATTCCTACCTCAATCTTTGTTTTCCTCATTTACGGCACTAAGTCCTTGAATGTTTTAGAGACTTGTTCAGAGTAACATGGAATCAGGTTAGACTCCCTGTGTTCTAACTTCTAATCAAGCCATAACACCACTCTCTCCTATACAGCATGCCAGTTAGGGCTCTAGGTCTCAGTTCTGGCTTTAGCTGTACCACCCTGTCCAAGCTGACTTCACCGGATGAAGGACAACACAGCTTATTAAGATCAATATATTAGAACTGCCTAATTTGCATATACCCAAACCATATCCAAGTGAATATAAAAGTCAGATGTATATAAATTTCATCTTTTATCAATATTTTAGTGTCACCTAAGTGGCACACAAAGCAACACAATAGGGCTAAGAGAAAGTTAGTAATGACCATCCTCATCCTAATGAAGGACTGTGGCCTTTTCTTCCTATCCCAAGGAAACATATGTGTAAGAAGAGAGGGTGGGTAATGAATGCACAGGAAAGTTTAATTTGGATAGATTACACAATTTTTTACTGGATAATATCTTTCTCTATATTTTTTAAAGATTTATTTATTTATTCATGAGAGAGAGATATATAGAGAGAGGCAGAGACATAGGAAGAGGGAGAAGCAGGCTCCTCGCAGGAGCCTGATGCGAGACTCAATCCCAGAATCACGACCTGAGCTGAAGGCAGCCGCCTAACCGCTGGGCCACCCCGGCATCCCAATGTCTTGCTATATTGAATAATTCTATCATAAATTAACTTGAAAAAGCTACCTCTGGTTGGTTTCCAGTGAAATGAACATAGAACAGTTCCCTGCAGGTTTTAGATTTCTGTAGCATTGTTGTCTAATAATTCAGAAAATAAACCTTCTCTCTCTATACAATCAATTTGGTTTCAGTATTTACAAAAACAAACATATTTTTGAAATGCATGTTGTGGTGTGCATTTTCACTTACCTTTTCCGCTGACTGAGCAGTGCCAAAAAAAATGGGAATGAAGGCAAGCCACACTATACATGTCGTGTACATAGTGAATCCAATGGGTTTGGCTTCATTAAAATTCTCTGGGACACCCCGAGTCTTGATGGCATACACAGTACATGTGACCATGAGAAGAATGCTATATCCCAAGGAGCAAATGATTTGGAGATCTGTAATGTCACATTTGAGAACTCCCCTGGCCTGCTCAGGGTTCATTGTCTTATGTTCATCATAGTCTATGATGATGTTGGGTGGGTCAACGCCAAACCAAATGAAAACACCTAGAAGCTGAACTGATATCAAACTGGAAGTGATTGCCAGCTGTGATGTCGGGCTTATGAGTCTGGGAGCTGTCACTGATTTCTTGCCTTGCTCAAATATGCGATAAATCCGATTGGTTTTTGTCAAGAGGGCTGCATAACTGATGCACATACCCAAGCCCAAGAAAACTCTCCGGAAAGAACACACTGCCACATCTGGTTTGGCTATCATCAGGAAAGTGATAATGTAGCAAAGAAAGATGCCAGTCAACAGAACGTAGCTCAGTTCCCGCCCAGATGCCCGGACAATGGGCGTGTCATTGTAGCGGATGAAAGTGGCCATGACAAATATGGTGGCAATGATCCCCAACATTGCTAGGAAGACAGGGATGACGGCCCAGGGGGAATGCCACTCTAGTTTGATGATGGGGATATCCTGGCAGCCAGTTCGGTTTTCATTGGGCCTCTGGTCGTAGGGGCAATGTTGACATGTCATCTCATCAAACTGGTACTGGTAGCCGTCGCAAGGTTCACAGGTCCAGCAGCATGGAGTTCCCTTCTGTGTCTTCTTTCTTTGCCCGGGCTTACAAGGCAGCGTACACACTGAGGGGGGAATCTCCCGGACTCCTTTACCCCACTGCATGTCCTCTATCTGCAGCATGAGAAATGAGAAGGTATAACTGGCAGGTTAGTTCGGAGAAAAAGGAAAGAATAGAATAACAGTGATAGCGGCATTTAAGACTTGACAATTAAGGAACTATCCACCTCTTCCATCCCCCAGTCAGTATGAACTATAACTAAGATTTGACCCCAACCATTCCATCCTAGCATCCTTACTTCTCACCACTATGGAATGGGCCAAACCTGCCTGGTTCTAAGAATTCCTGTGGCAACTATTAAAAATACAAATTCCCATTCCTACCTTAGACCTGCCAAATAAGAATATGATAAAAAATAAAAAGTAGGGGCAGCCCGGGTTGTTCAGTGGTTTAATGCCGCCTTCAGCCCAGGGCATGATCCTGGAAACCCGGGATCAAGTCCCATGTCAGGCTCGCTGCATGGAGCCTGCTTCTCCCTCTGCCTGTGTCTCTGCCTCTCGCTCTCTCTCTCTCTCTCTCTCTCTCTGTGTCTCTCATGAATAAATAAATAAATAATTTTTTAAAAAATAACTTAAAAAATAATAATTAAAATAAAAATTAGTAAAAAGACCTTTGGATCTTTAACAAATGCCCAGAGGAGTCTTATGATTAGATAAACAGAAATAAAAATCTTAAGTAATGTGAAAAGTTTCATGCATCTCCCTTATTAGCTTCGAAAAAATTGTTTTAAAATTATTTTGGATGATATTACAATGCTGACCATCTTCTCTAAAATTCTGTAGGCATCCCTCCCATGGTCAAAGAGAATTTTTTTTAATTTTTTTTTTATTTATGATAGTCACAGAGAGAGAAAGAGAGAGAGGCAGAGACATAGGCAGAGGGAGAAGCAGGCTCCATGCACTGGGAGCCCGATGTGGGATTCGATCCCGGGTCCCCAGGATCGCGCCCTGGGCCAAAGGCAGGCGCCAAACCGCTGCGCCACCCAGGGATCCCTCAAAGAGAATTTTTGAAGCAAATTCAGTCTAGTCTATTATTTATCATTTAGAAATGACAAGGTTCATTATTGAAGGCTATAATGGTAGTCAACTCTAAGTGATTAGGAAGCATTTGATAAAAAAAGAAAATAATATGGCCTGGAAACATTTCAATATTGGCCATGTACCTATTTGGAGATGAAATTTAAAAATAAAATATTATATCCTAGGGGAGGATGAATGTGGATTTGCTTAATGAAAATACTGGTTTGGGGAGGGCAATTCATAGTCAACCGTGTTCTGAGAAATAATATCACTAGAAACAAAGAAAAGGTACTATTGGGCTGAAATTGCACTGTAGCAGAGATCTCTCATTTGCCAGCACAGCATCTACTCTTCCTCCTTCCTGACATCAGCTCCTCAGATCTATTTCCTATGTGTTTGCTGTAAGATGCATAAGTTACTGGGGAGGGTGGAGGAGAGGTTTGTTTACGTGACCCAGTCTCGGCCAATTATTGTGTATTGCACCATTACTCAAGCTTGAGCACTCATCAGGATCACTAGGAGGATTCCTTATCACCCCATATGCTGGGCCTGACAGTAGGATCTCTTGATTGTTTGGGTTGGGACGGGATCTGAGAGTATGTAGTTCTAACAAAATTGTAGGTGATGTTGCTGGTGGTTCTCTAGGGACCATACTTTATCATAAACAGATACATTCCAAATTCCTAGGCACAGCATATAGGTCAGGGATGGAATAATTATGGAATGGAAAGAAATTTAAGTTTACTTTTACTAAGATTACATACAATAAACATCTTTTTTTTTTTTTTTTTTTTTTTTTTTTTTTGCCTGGCAGTTTCTAGGATGTAAGAATGTCAGTTCTCATGGCTATAAGAAGGAAGGGGTTTGTAAGAGAGAGAAGTCAACACAGAGGAAAAGGTTACTGAAAAAGAGAAGGAGAAGAGAATGATTATTGAGGAAACTGCATGAGCTACTTGATATAGGCATGCCTGAAGCATGATTCCCTAGACCTCTCCCTTATGCAATACAGGAAATTCTGCTATGCTGACACACTTTCAGTGGCATTTGTATTACTTGCAATAAACAGTCTTGAAAAACATATTTACTAAATAAATAATTGTAGCATCTACAAGTTGTAAAAGGTGTACTTAAGTCAGCAAATTAACTTACATAATAAATTCCAATGAACACATTTAAGTGACATTCCCAATACCTTTTTAATACAGTTGGACCAAAAACTGGTTAGAAAAATACTGGAAAATCTGAGGCTTTTAAAAAATGTATAATTTTAAGAGATAAAGGGAAAGGAAAATTAACTTATTGCTCTTGGAAGTTTAGCACCATATTAAAACGTGATGCAATGTATAGCAGGGTGTGATACTTCCATCAAAACTTCAGTGAAAACTATATTCAAAACCTAAATCAAATGTAGGTAAAACTGTTGGGGGAAATGGCTCAGGGATTAAGCTTCATAAAATATAACCTTCTAATTGTTGAATTTAAACTCTAAGCAGAGACCCAAGAATCTTCAGATGACTCGTGTAAACTCATTTTCCTGAACACAAAGCCCAAGTCAGCACTAATAAATCTTACTAAATATAAAACATAATCATCTCTTTCTCAACATCATCATTTTTGAGGCAGTAAGTCACTGGCAGCCATCCCAAAGTCATAAAATTAAGGAAATAATTTGTAATAAGAGAGAAAAAGATATGCATTATCTTTACAAATGTCAAATTGCAAGAAGTTGGAACCTAAAAAAAATGCTATTATTAATACTAATGTTTCCAAATGTCAAATTAAAAGGTCCTACTCATGGTTAATAAGAAAGATTAACCAAAAAAAAAAAAACCTATAAATAAATTTCATTAGCTAAACTTGAAACTGCCTGATTCCAACACTAGTAGATAGTAATATACCATATGATTAAACTTGATCTATGGGAATAGATGTGGGCTCATACAAATATAAAAAGAAATTATCATTATCTAACATTTTATAGCCTATTTTAAGTGTTGTCAGCTCACTATTTTTCTATCCTAGGAATAAAATAAAATACCCAGCAATGCTGAATAGCTTTCCCCTCCCCTCCTTAACTTATCCAAATATATATAAGAGCTGTAACCACAAACTTTACATTGACTGATTACTTAATTTGTTTTCAATTTTCATTTAAAGTACATCTCAACTCAGTTTAATTGTATATATTACAGCAACAAAGTTGCATCTTGCAACAAATGAACAAATGTCTAATTTACTTGTTTTTCAACAAAAATCATTATTGAAAATACACTGTTGAATAAAGATACCAACTGAACTTTAAAAGTTCTAAAAAAATAAATAAATAAACTTTAAAAGTTCTAGTGAGAATTTTTTTAAATGATACATTTGATTTATCTTATACCCATCCACACAAACTCAGTGACTTGTTTCATAAGAAATAGTCAGCTACAAACACCCATGGGTACTTATTGAAGGGAGAATAATCATTTAGGGTTATGAAAACTCAAGTATAATGTCAATTTTCTTTGCTAGAGGCTAGTAGGAATGTAAATTTCAATTTTCTTTGAATGCTGCAACAAAACCCGTGTTTCAGTTAGGTGGGAAGCCAAAGTTAAGATGCAGAAAGATTAGAAAAAAAGGGCTAGGATGTTTACTATAATCTTCTTTAGAAGATACAGTTCTAAATTCTCTGATAAAGATGAATTTCCTACCCGGACACCAATGTTTATGGGTACTAGATACTGGATCTGCTCAGTAGCTGGCTCATGGGGAAGAGATGTTGAAATCCTAGCTGTTAGCAAGAGAACTGTACCAATGGTACTGTCAATTAACACCATGTGTGGCACATAGATTATGTTGATAGGTAGATCAATGGTTTAGGAAAGAGATAATATATAGTTCTAGCCAATGAAAGCAAAGGTAAGCCTGATGTAGAGTACTAGCAAAATATTCTCCATTCTTAAAAGAAACACAAAAAAGAGATATACTATATTTAGCCTTTGAACTTTGATGTGTGCAAATGTAAAATATGGAGCTGCAGCAGCCAATTTTTAACCATGAAGAGACAAGAAACTGGAAAAAGCCAATATACTGAGGATAGAAAAAAGATAAAAACAAATTTGTGTCGTTGATGATGTTGAAGTAACTTCTAGGCCCAAGATGGAGCCTTTGTCATGTCAGCAAGGTGCCATGTCAGCAAACCATACTTGGATAGGTGTCCCTATAAACAGGCTCCACTTGACCAGACACAGACTGTATTCAGTCAGCCAGTCCCCCAAATGCCAAGCCAACTCTAAGCCTTCTCACCTCAAACAAGATTGATTATATGGCCCCTGCCAATCAGGTATTTTCTGTTTATCTTTTCCTTGTTGTTTAATTCTTCATCCTATAAAAAGCTCTCTGCCTTCCACCCCATTCTGTGGTTCTCTGAGAGAAGACTGTCTAGTTCATGAAGTGCTGTAAGTTAGTTTGTAGCATCGAAATTGTCTTCATTAACCATTCTTTAACAGTGGCATAATGATGTCAGCAAATTAACCATCACATGTACCACTGTATTCCTGAATTTCGAACATGAAATGATGAACTTTCCTTAGTGGGTGACCAATATTTCCTGGACAGTCTACTACTTGCAATGAAACATTCTAACAAATACACTTTTTCTTAATTCTGCATCTGGTATGTGAAGATCTTCTGAGACAATTAGACAATTAGCCAATAATTCAAATTCCAACAGGGAAAGTAGGTAGCTCCAGAAAGAAAAGGGACTTTTGAAACACGGGTGATCGGAAGCACTTATTTTGTCTCCTGGGAATGCTCCTAAAAGAGAGAAGTAAAGCCCTAGACTCCAAACATCAGCTGTGACTCCGTTGCTTCTGGCTCAGAGAGAAACAATGGAAAAGCACCTGTCAGCTAAAGTTCTCTAGCACATGTGATTGGCAAAGAAAAATTGGGGTCTGGCTCTAGTAGAGAGTAGGCTACTCCACAGGGAATGTGCAGACCTTATAATCACTGGAATTTTAAAATAAAACCAGACTAGTTGCTGTCTTACTGCC